TGGCCCTCCAGGACCGAGTTTGGACACCCTTACGAAAAAGAAGTATATTTCAAGTTAATTTTATGTTGTATACTTAAGGAATGTTCAAGTATATTTTAAGTATACGTAATTACGTAGTAAGTATACTAATGTCACTATGTACTAGTAGTAAACTTGAAAGTGTACTATTTTAATACCGCTTGGGACTAAATTGGCCCACTTTTAGTACATAAAAGTATACGTTTAAGTGTACTATAAGTGTAACAGTATGTGCACAACTAGTTCATAATTATGTATCTCATGTGTACTGCAAGTGAATTTATGGGTATACTAGTAGTTTACTTTTTTACTGTAATACTTATAAAAGTATACTTTGAATAGTTAATTATACTTTTAAGTATTTCTTTATCAAAAGATTGAGTACAAGAACAGGACAAATACAAGTATACTTGCTTTTCTCTCAGTATAAGTCAAGTACACTTAAGTGTAATTTGAAGTATATTTCTGAGAAGTACAGGAAAAATAAACTGAAAGTATACTTTCTTATTTTTAGTTTAAAAGAAGTATACTAATAGCACACTTGAATAAACTTCTTTTTCGTAAGGGCACCAGAATACAGTTTGGTTTATATGTAAAAAAAAAAAAAAAAAAGTTAATAAAACACTGATTCTTGAAACTTTGGCAAAAACATGTCCCACTAAAAAAAGTGCTAATTCTGTTGGAAATTAATAACATTTTCATGAATGAAAAGAATCAAGTTTATAATCAGGGGGTCCTTTGCACATATGTAAGGTTCTTTTATAGGTTTATTTTTCATTTTTATTATTTTAATGATTATATGCTGGCCCATTGCCTACAAAATCAGCTGTCCTCGGATAGGAGATAATCATTTCAACTTGATTAAAAAAACAAAAAGGAATAATTGAATTGAATAATATATTTACCACACAAAAGAGTACATTGTAATATGTATTAAAAACTAAAAACAGTGAGTTTTGAACAATATTTACTATTATTTTGTGGTTGTTCAAAATGTGTCCCACATATTCGTCACCACCGTCAGATATTTATAAAAAGCAATAAAATCAGGCAACTACAAGGTCAACTACATTCCTCTATACCCCATTTTCAAACCTTCAGCTTTACAGCATGCTTCAAGATCACTTAAGCTCCCGTAATTTTGCTATTTTCTATTAAACTTGTTCATATATTTGGGCACTGCTACTGTCACAACCATAACATGTCAACACCGTCTCTTTTGTATAGAAAATATTAGATTAGACTATGACATAATTGTATACTTTTTAAGAAGAGGTCTGAAGTAGCTAGCAACAGAGGGGAAACAAGATGGCTATAATGTGAACAACTCATGCATATCAAGTGAAAGAGTAGGTTTTGTCACCACCGTCAGACGTCACCACCGTCAGGTTTTCTATCTGACGGTGGTGACATACCGTGTGACGGTGGTGACAAAACCCCCCAAATGGTCTATAACAGAGGCTAGAATATAATTGTTGTTCACAATAAATACCAATATATTATCTGTAATGTTCCATTCACCTCTTTAATATTTTTATTTATTTAATTCCCCTTATATTTCTTCCATACAGTCTTACACTGCATGCTACTATTAGCGCGAGTGAGAGTGAGGATGTTTCCTGATATCCTCACGGCTGTGCTTCAGCTGCAGGAATACAGCAGTTCTAATCTGAACACGTTTGATGCGATTAAATTGTTTCATGACGTTCATTTAGATTTTTGCCCACACTAAAAATTTGTTAAAGCCTAGCATGGATAGGAGCAGCAATAATCCCCTTGGGGTAAACAGAACAGAACCAACATGAATGTTTTGCAGATTATTTCAAAATTTAAAGTACAATATCATTCGAGAATTTATTCAGATTCTTGGGGAATCAGAATGTCAAGTCCTGACTGACGAGTGGAGCTGGGGAGGGAGGAGGGTAATGAGCTCCTGAGAAACGTGATAGCTGCTGATAATACTGAAGGAGCTTATATATGTGTACAGTGATAGGCGTCATATTCCTATAGGGGGAGGTTGATCAGCTAATAGTCGGCTGATGCGAGCTTGACTAACGTGACCTGCCAGAACTAACACTACGCTTGATATTTAGACAGATTTTTTGAACAATTCTTGAGAGAAATAGGCTTTTTGTGTACATGGAAAAAGTCATAGATCTTTGAGTTCAACTCATGAAAAATGGGGGCAAAAACAAGTGTTGCATTTATAATTTTGTTCAGTGTACATATTTATGAATTATACCCTCAGCCTATCGTCCAATAGGGGATAAGGTGTGCCTTCCCTCTCTCTCAATTCACTATTATGCCATGTTCATTTGGCTTATGTCATTTGGGATGCACGTAGTGCAGCTACTGCCTACCTACACAGCACATAGTATGCACTATCCATTCCAGGCTATGCATCTCCAATGACTAAAGCCAAATGAAAATGGCATGACATCATTTAAACAAATCTAACATTCGCTGTAATTACCCCCAATTTCATAGTCATTACACTCAACTTTGACTTTATGTATTTTAGAAAGTTATGGCTAGGCAGCAGCTATCTGTAGAGGAGAGAAGGAGAAGAAACAGGGAATACCAAAAAAAGCTGAGAGAGAAAATACACAGTGAGGCAGAGTTAAATGAGGAATACCTCATAAAAGGAAAAAAATGTTTATCACAGTGCTCAGGATTGTTATTTTTTGGACCAAAGAGTTAAATGAAGTTGTTAAGCAAGAATTGATTGACTTGAGTGGTATACATTGTGGAATTGTATGTTGTAAAGAGGCCACAGTCACCACAGTCAGATTAATGTCACCACCGTCAGTTTTAAAGTCACCACCGTCAGAGGGAGTTTTATTTGTTTTAAATGAATATACTTGAAATATGATTCTTCAGTGCTGTTGAGTTATTAAAGTAATAGTCTCTTTTAATACAAAAATATGTTTGTTAAATAAAACAACATAAATTTTTCTATTTAGGCTTAAAGTAAATGTTGTATGATGTTATATCTTTTAAAGGAGCACACGCAAAACAGTATAAAAAATGAACAAAAGTGAATATTCAACATTTAACAGCATATATGTGTACCAAGAATGCCAGATAATGATTTAAAAACTCTAAATACATATTAGACCAAACAAATAAAAAATAATTTGCTATTTATTTTGTCTGACGGTGTTGACAAAAACAAAGTGATAACTGGAGAAACGCCTATTTTATGAAAAAAATACAAAATGAGGAGGTTGCACCGGTGCATTGCTGAACAGCCAAGACCTTGCTTTATAATGATATACCTTCAGATTTTGTAATTTAACTAACTTTTTATTTTCAAAATTAAAACCTGTTTTATCCAAATTCCCAAGAATCACTGAAAAACAACAAAAAGAATACTAAGATATGTTTTGTCTGAGCAGTGCAGGGTGTGTCCATCTCTGGTTCAGCAGCTTTTGCCTCATTTTCTTCTCACATCATCATCTCTCTACCAGGAACCAGTCCCCAGCAACACCCAAATCATAGTATTCAGAGCAGCAGTGTTAGTGAGACTCGCTGGGGTAAACCTGGGATCGATTGGCTCATGCTGCTGGGGGTTTTGGTAATGTAACTGAATCTAGGTTCTCTCATTAGGGACACGAGAAGCCCGTCTTCATGCAGATGAGCCGAAACTCGAGGAGCAGTTCGCCAAAGACTAATGAACATGCAGCATGTCCTCCCATGCCTCCGTTCTGGCTCGCTCTTACAGTTGTCTCCATTTCTGGCTCTTTTGTGTATTAGCTCACTCACGGTCTAATTTCCACTGCCCCTCTTAACTGAAATTAAAGCAAAATCAGGGACAGATTTATATAGGCACCCCTGGACATGCAAGCATAGTGCACGTTTTTAATTATTATTTCACTCTAAAAGTAGCCTGGTTAAAACCAGACCAGAGTTATGGTGTGGCAAAGCGTCGTAGACAAATCATTTCCAGAGGGGCGTCACCAACGGAAAAACAATCAGAGCGGTGAAGGAGATGACGTATGCAGAGAAACATCTCTGAGTGTTGTTCTTTGCGTTTTAACAAAAAGGCAACGTTCAAATCGCTTAAAACAGACGCGATAGCTGATTCGAACGAGTGCGGCATCCATCTTTGTAATGTAGGCTACAAAAATCTGCTTCAAAATCCCAGCGCTGTCGTCATCGTGTAAAGCCCGCCCCAACGGCTCTGATTGGTGCCGCGATTTCTGCGGATTGGAAATGGGCTTGAATGAGCTCTTTGCCAGACTAACTTTCAGAGCAAATCTAAATTTGCCGGAAGTTGTCTGGGTTTTCCTAGGCTACTCTAATAGTAAAACACTGTAAGAAAATTACTAAATTTAAAGGCCCACAGGAGTGCCTTGAAACACGTAGCGTTATTCAATATGTTGACGTAATTTCCACTGAAACAGGAAGACAGGGCGGGACTTATCGATCAGCCACTCCCCCTTTTTAAAATAAAAACTACAACAGCTGTAAAATGCCACATGCAGTTGCTAATATTAAGACATATGTTGTGCTTTTACTTTTAAAAATGTTGGTAACGTTACAGTTAATGCTTACAAACTTTTTTACATTTGTAATGGTGTAGCCTATTTTCATTTAGATGAGGTATTAGTATTTGTGCAGTAGCTAAGATTAATTACTGCATAAATTAGTTAAGATTATTAAGTAATAAATTCATTTTAAGACAGCATGGAGTAGATTATAATATGCCGTTAGCTATAATTTGGATGGTAAAGTATCATGAGCCACAATTAAAGTCTTGTGACACTCATGCCAGACGGCAGACGTTATTGTTGTTGTTGTCGAGTTTCTGTGCGCCGATTGCTTTAGGCCGGGCCTAGTTAAAGTCCAGGGCCGTTTTTTAGTCCCAGTCCGTCCCAGGCCTAGCCTACTTGTTTTACACAAAGTTCTTCTCTTCTAATTTTTTCACTTATTATGGGCTACAAGAGATTAAGAAAATAAATTAAGAGAGTTAGGCCTACCGTTATCAGCACAGCTCTCATCGTCTCTGAGAGAAGATGAACGTTTATTGCAGCGTCAGATGTTTTAACTTGCACTTTCTGTACGTTAGTGAATAATTGACTGAGGTTTGAGAATCATTCACCGGCATAGTTTGCTCTAGCTTGAGTAATATCCACTGGCTAATATCCTTCATGCTTTAAAATAGCTAAATTTTCCAATATTGTGCGAATATCTCCATTAAAATGATTAACAGAGGTTTAGATTTGCATGCGTCATTTCCGTGAGAAAATCAAGTAAACTACTAAATAAATGACTAAATAAAAAAGTACATAACCTCAATAGGAGAGCGGCATCAGCACTGATGAGATAATTTCTACTTTGCTTGAATAGACAAAGCAGATCTGCGGAAATGTGTTTTGGCGGTAGCGCCGCCATTTATAACGATCTCACACGTTTGTTTTTTTAGTTGTTGTTTTTTTTTTACAATTTGGGGGGATTAAAATCTATATGTGGTGTCAAAAACCAGGTTCATTTACACTTTTCCAATTTCGTCTGGAATGCGGCTCAGTGCAAGTGGTTTGAGCGATCAGATTTAAATCCGTCTCGAAAGCTGAAAAAGACCCCATGCAGACAGCAACATAGTGTCTGCCCTGATCCGGCCCACATCCGCCACACGTGGATTACACTCGGCCCGAATCTGGGCCGACACTATAATTCTGTCGGGGATGACATTTGACCTAGTCTTTTTAAGATCGGATAGCTATCTGATAGCTATGAAACCCATTATGTGTCATTTTATTTTTTTAAGAAGGCACTATCATCAGCCACATGGCTTCCTTGTACATATTCTAATAAAAGTGCTTTTAAATAGCGAGGAATAAAAAAAAATGATTCACTCGAACTATCGACTGATTTGATGTAGGCTACCTCATCAAGTTTGGTCTTGGTCCGGATCCATTCAATTATTATAATGCGTCATTATGAAATAGCCCAATTACATGACTGACCTCAATGCAAAAATATCATTTAATTTCTTTAAATGAAAGGGTCCCAAAAAGACCAAGGCTGTTTCGTGGCTGTTTCAAGGGGTTCAGGGTCGATTGCCATTCACAACAAGAAATGAAATGTCTTCTCTGATCCTTGAAAAAACTGCAAATAACAAACAGGTCTTTTCATTTGTTCATCTTTGCTTTAATAACAACTTTACAATAGATGTTCTCATGCAAGTTTATTTTATTTATTTATTAATTTTCAGAAAGTTTTTCAGCTATGTGCAATTGCTTGATATTATAAAGTAGCCTAGCTGGTAAACATGTTGGTTAGTTTTTGTTTCTTATTTAGCATAAGCATTCTCTTACATAGCATTCCCTCGTGGGGATTCAAATTTAAGTCTTTAATTCATTGTAATCACTTGCACAGTGTGATATATTTGCAGTTGTGTTCTTACAATATCCCAAAAGTCTCCAAAGATTTTTTTATTTCAGAGAAATTTCAATTTTATAGCTATTTTCAATTTCATGGCTACGAAATTTCAATTTTGTAGCATGACGTAACCATGCATGCGACAGACGTGGACAACTGCGTAGTGCGTAACGTTTATCGGCACGCGGTTCTTGTTTCTTTCAAACAAATACCATGACAAGCAGGCATTGGGACAAACAAGAAGACCTAAAAAGAGGATATCAGCGTGGCGTCTCCACGTCCTCGACTGACGTGGACTTGACAGCTTTATTAGACAGGTGAGCAAATGTACATAAAACAAAGCAATGTTATGTAACGTTAGCTCAACATGATGAAGTGTTACTGTGTTAGAATATATGGTCACTTGGTCAGTATGTTATTCTAATGTTGATATAATGCTAGTTTTGGATGGCAAACGAATTAACACGCATTAGCTATAATATTATAACTTTCAACACACATTTAAATGCAGTCTAGTGTGATAGTGTAACGTTAGACCAAGTGAAACAGTGCTGCGTTACCTCAAGTTTAATTCGTCTAATAAACTGACCTGTGTGAGTTAATCTATGGAGTTAATCCAGCACTTGCGGGTATATTTCAGTAGAATTAAATGTCCTTATTCCTTTTATATCCACGTGACTCGCGTCGCGTGTGATATCTGTCTCTTTAGCAATCGCGACCTGCTTCATACCACTGTAATGTTAAAAAACATGAATGTTTGCACTCATCCATAAACATTATTAGATCCTTCACCTTGACAGCAAGTCCCATCATTCAGCTCATCACTGCGTCATAAACCTACGCCTTTGTTATTGTTGGAAACTGCATTTTAAGAGTGTCCCTGCTTCTATTATCATAATTTTAAATCCTATGGAGATTATTATATAATGTTTTGGTGATGGATTAAACACAAACCTTTTTCATCTTCCCAGTGTTTGATGGAGATCAATCCTTTCGGTGGTTTGGCATTTGAGGCCAAACATTAACCAAATATCTGGGTGAGTGCATTTTCTTTGATTAATCTCATAACCTACCAAGGGTTAAAGGTCTATGGGCAATATGGCTTGATGCATTCTATTATCTTATGCATAATGATTTATTCATAAGTCCACAATGATTTTGCAGTAAATGGAAGCTATTCCCAAACACAACAGTGGAACGTTGCCTTTTCTGTCATTATCGGAACTTATTTCGGATGTTTGTTCCAATGCAAACTAAAAGAAAACTGGCCTGTGCATTAAAACAAATCAATAATACTGATGTAATTGAGGTCACAGGTGTACAGCTTAGAACGCAGCTCAACCAATCAGAATCAAGGACCGAAACTATCCGTTTTATAATTATCTTTAACAAAAGCCATAGTCGCAATGAATCACAAAACCCTATGGGTTTTTATAATGTTTATAATATAAAGTAATATAAAGTATGTGGTATAGATAACTTAAAGGGATACTCCACTTTTTTTGGAAATAGGCTCATTTTAAAACTCCCTCAGAGTTAAACAGTTGAGTTTTACCGTTTTCGAATCCATTCAGCCGATTATTTAGAAGAATATCAGTAACCAGACAGTTTCTGGTCTCATTGACTTCCGTAGTACGAATACTATGGTTACTGGTTACTGATATTAAAGTTTGTAATGTGTAAACTGACACTGCATGTAATGTGTTCTGGGAATATGACACAGAGGGGTCACGTCATAATGGTATACTTGTTCATCCTTAAAATCGGCCTTTGCTTGTTAACTTTTGAGATCAGATTTGCAGGCTTACTCTTTATAGCAGTTTTTCAAAAAAAAAAAATATTTGAAAAACAAATCTAAATGTGGTTTTTTATAAGATGACTCACTGAGCCGAAAATGAATCATTGGCAGTTTCAGGAAAGAACTTAAGTTGAATGTGATCTAAATGCTCTTGAGCTGCTGTAATTCTGCTAAAAGACATGCTAGTAAACAACAGACTGAATTAGCAGTTATTTGCTTTTTACGTCATTCACCATGACCACCTCTTGCTCCCCTTGGTCTTGGAAGGATTAGAAACAGGATTAGAGTTCATATTGAGTCCATATATCCTTTTTGGTTTTTTTGCAAAATACTTTTTTTGTAATATTTTTTTTTTTGTGTGTGTGACTGAGGCTAAAAGCCATTTATTCATCCAGTAACGAAAACTATACTATCTTTTAAAAAGTTTGGACTCCGTACGATTTTTTTTTTTTTAAAGAAATTAATACTCTTATCAAAGGTACATTAAATTGTTTTAGTTTAAAGAGCCAGTAAATGCTGTTCTTTTTAACTTTCTATTCATCAAAGAATCCTGACAGAATGTATCATCATTAGTATTTCCAGTAAAATATGTTATTTTCATATTTTTGTATATGTATATTAAAATAACTATTTTCAACATTGATAATAATAAATGTTTCTTGAGCAGCAAATCCACATATTAGAATGATTTCTGAAGGAGTATGTGACATTGAAAATTGGAGTAATGACGCTGAAGATCACAGGAATAAATTACATTCTAAAAATATATTCAAGCTTTTCAGAATTGTAATAAAATGTCAGGATTTTTACTGTATTTTTATCTGGTTTGCAGAGATAGACAACATTTAATAACATTTCAAAAAACATTCAGACCCCTTTTCATCAGTACCATATATATATACATATATATATGAAGAGTTCAGATGCAAAGGCCTCTAAATGCCATTTGAAATTTTCTTCTTTAATGATGATTTTTATCAAACTTTTATATTTAAGTTCAGTAATTTCACTTAAATAACAATTAATAGGTAATTATCATTGCCATTTAAGTGAAATCACTGAACTTAAATATACAAGCTTGATAAAAATGATCATTCTAGAAGAAAATTTCAAATGGCACTTAGAGGCTTTTGCATCTGAACTCTTCATATATATATATATATATGAGACTTTATATATATATATATATATATATATATATATATATATATGATATATATATATTTATGATATTATCCCTTTTAAATGAGCATTTCTGCACAGCACTTGCCACTCATTTCCAGCTCATCTATGTTACTGTGTTTACTAGTACTACTGACCTCTTCAATTGTCTGTCTAAACACACCAGTGACCCTTGTAAGCAGATTTTCCGTTCCCGGTCAGAGCGCGGCTGTGCCAACAGGGACAGATCGATAGCGGCCAAGCCTGACATTGATCATGGCTAGAGATAGTCTCATCGTTCTGATGTACTCGCGACATGTTTGTGTAGTGGCTACATGAGCCCAAACCAGATTCTAGCAGATATCAATCACAGTCTGTCCAGTCTCTCTTCCAATACTCAGCTATTCACAGCCAAACAAACAAGATGTATGCGCATGGAAAGAAAGAAGGATTAGATGCAACAGGGAGGTATTGAAAGGGAATGTATGAGGAAAAATAATAAGGAGTGTGTGTGTGTGTGTGCACGAGAGAGATGATTTGTGGGCCTCTCGTGTGCTAGCATTACAAGAATGGCCCTCATGGGTGGCATGAAAAAGCTCTTGATTGTAAGGAGTGGTAACTTGATATTCAAGCTCCTTGCCCTGATAGATTTATTTACTTGCAGCGCCTCAGCCCTGTCTTGAGAGAGAGAGAGAGAGAGAGAGAGAGAGAGAGGAGGCA